ACCACAGCAGGAACTCCCTCTGGTTGTCTCTTTTTGGGGTGAGGGATCTCAGCCAACACAGTCAATTTTTCTGCATAGGCCCTGCTGTACCTCTGTTCCTCTCTACCTTCACTGCGTGTTTGCTAAGGTACAGAGGCATTTCACCAGGGCTTACTTCTAGGCAACTCTCCCTAGCCTCTTCCCCCTGCATCCCTCTCGCTTTCACTCAGCTTCCCCATTTCCACCGACTTGTTGTTTTTACATAATGCCACTGTAACTTCAGACGGGATGAAGACCTGGCTCTGCTTCTCCTTTTGGAGCAAGTAAACTGCCCAAAAGCCTGCAGTGTCTGCAAGCTGCAGAAGATCCTGTGCCCGGTCCAGTGTGGATATTTGCAGTCCAKTTACAAAAGCCGCATGTTTGCATTATGTTAATCCCCTGGCTTTGGCTGCGCTGGCCAGGCAGGACCTATCACAGCATGGAGAATGACATCATTTGGAAAAAGAGCTGCTGCACAAGGCTGCCAGAGGCCGTGCAGCGTCCCTCCCCTCTCACACGGGACGGCCGCTCCATGTCAGCACGAGCAAGCTGCCTTATCAATAGGAATAGTTTTAGTGACCGTAGAAGTTGTGAGGTGATGGAGTGCAGGACAAGGAGATATGTATAACCCTCCTCTCTGCCAGGCTGCAGTAGTGATATCATAAATGCTATGATTTGTTCATTAAGCTTGTCACCTAGAGATTTGTTTCATCTTAATGCATGCATTGTTTTTTACTTGCCCTAATTTGCCTTTCACAAACAGTGGCAAGAAATACCATGAAAGCATAGCTGATATGATGCTGCATGCAAGCTCACCCACGTGCTGCTTTGTGATCGGTGCAAGGAGCTGCGGAGAAATAAAACGCAAGATGACTGGACTGCTTAGTGAATGCTTCCAGCTCACTAATGCTGAAATGCCATAAAGCATCCTGCCTTCCGAAACCAGCACATGACTCGCAGCATCGCCATTCCGCCCGATTCTCCCCTTACGGACGCAGTTACAAAAGCGGCAGCTAAGCACAGACGTATCCCTGGCATGCCGTCAGGCAGCCTTGCTGGAGGAAATTTTTTTTTTCCCCCTGCAAGCTGCCAAGGTGGACTCCTTAGCTCCTGCGATAGACTGAATGAGACTGCAGTTCCCCCATCAGTTTCATAATACTCAGAAAGCATCCATTTACATCATTGTGTGCAGTGCAGGGCAGCAGCTGCCAGGAAATTTGAAACTATTTTGATTCCAGTTGACTAGAACAGCAGCAATTGAATTAGCTGGTATCGCTATAGATAAACTGATGATCTGTGCATTTTATTTCTTTGACCAATGGGTAACTGCTGGAGCTACAGTAACCTCTGTGAGTAAGGAGACTGTTCAAGCAAATATATCTAATTTCTCGAGTTAGATAATATATATATTTATATATATATACTGTATAGAGAGAGACACTCACACCATTCTTTTGTAAAATGTACCTGTAAACAAAATGTCTGTCTATGCTTTTAACTTGTGTTTTGCTTCCTAGAATTTCCTTTTRTTATGCTGTAGACAAGCTTGCTTGACATGGAATGGTTAATTACCTATTAATTATCATATCTATGCCTGATTTAAGTCATTAATTCTTTCAACGTCTAGTCACTAGAAAGGCTGCCAAATGCTGTTAGGTTATATTTGCCCAGTCTCAGTTTTCTAGTCACTCACCCCCTTTCTATGTTAGCTTTTTCCCTATCCATTTCTTTCTTTTTTTTCTTTCCTTTTTCTTTTTCTTTGTTGAAAGAAGCCACCTTCAATGCAAAGTAGAAATTTGTGTTACCTGAAAGTGTTTGTCCTTTGTTTGTTTGGTGATGGGTATTTTTTTTCCCTGCGCATCTTCAGTGCAGTCCTTAAATTTTGTTGTTGTCTTTCTAGCCTTGTTTGTAATGCAGTCATATTGGGGGATGGGGTTGGACAGGATATACCAGTAGCTGCAGCAAGACATGATGCTGTGGTGGTGGATGGGAATAAGGGAGGAGTTTCTCTTAAAGAGCTCAAGCTCCCCTAAGCTCCTGTACCTGAAATAGCTCTCTGAGCAATGAGAGAGACTTTGCAGTTTTGGGAGAGGGGGGCAGATTGGTTGTGGTTTGCCTCACGAAGCAGAGGCCTTGGCAGTCRTGTGCATGGTGGTACCTAACATAATGGCAACAGAACGCTGCTTTGGTGCCATGTATGAATTTTTTAAAATCAGATAGAGAATTAGGGAATATTCCTGCATGAAGGCAGGAATCCCACAGACTTGTGCRTATGTCCGGCAGCAGCAGTCTGGCCGGAGCAGGGCTGCTGACATCTCACTGTAGGAAAGGCCTWACATTCTGTTGTGATAATGCTCCTTTCTTACCCAGGCGAGCACAGCTTGCAGGTGTGGCAGAGGGGAGTACCGGGAGCACCCCTCCTTCCCCTGCACATCTCTCTGTGCCCACATGTGAGGCTATGTGCTCTGTATGTGTACCTTTGCTGGAGTCTGCTGAGCTTGCCAGAGGGTAAAGTTTGCTTGGGATGAAGTTCAGGAGAAGTAAATCAGAAACTTGCTCAGGTTTGCGTTCCGCCACCAGCAGTGGCTGTCGGTGGCAGATGGGGATGCGCAGCAGTGCATCTAACATTCACCACGAGGAATAAGGCCTCCTCTGTTTTCCTCGTGTTGGTTCAGAAGCTAAGATAGCAATTAGCAGAGACGAGCCTGGCCCCTTGGCAGGGTCTGTGTGCGGYGCCTTGTTAGGGCTTGGCCTCCAGAGCACGTTGGCTGCCTCCCAGCCCCACAGGAGGCCGGGGGCCGACGCTCCGGGCTCCCTTCCAGCCAGGCAGGATGTGTGGGTTGGGTGAGGCACGGGGGCTCACAGCTCGTGGGGCACTAGATWGTGCCTTTCTTCGGGCACTGCAGGCAGAGAGTGTGGCCCATGCATTGTCCCACAGTGCTGAGGGCACGCACTGGGCATTGCTGTGGGTGGATGTGTCCACTGAGAAGTGTTTACATTGGCAYCCATAGCAACAGGCTCCCTATCAGTCCTCTCCTAAGAAATCCCATCTCTAGGCCATGCTGAGGGAGCAGCAGGCACTAAAGCTCATGCATTGGAGTAGACGAGGGTTGTGGGGTGAGAAAGCAGCTTGGGGTTGCCTGCTTAGGCTTGTTCAGGTGCTGGTGTAGGTACATTGTAACCACAGAGCATCGCTGTCCTATGTGAGTCTGTCCTGGTGGAAGTGTCCCACAGTGGCAAGGTAGTGCCTGTGCTGTGAAAAATGGGGGCTTGAGATGCACTCAAGCATTGTGTGGCTGAGTTGTGTAAAAAAGGGACTGTTTGCTGCTTCAGATACTTAGGAAAAGCACTGTAGGTGCACCCATACCTGTGTGTTGGAAACGTTTCCGTGGAGACAGGGTGGTGATGCRATTGTGGACAAGGCATCCTTGCTTCTTACAGCTCCCTGGGATCTTGCATCAGAGAAAAGGTCCCTGCTTTGTCCAGTCACTGCCCTCAATGGCAGCTTCAAATAGACCAAATAGTCTGCATGAAGCTGAATTTTTATTATACAGTAATTGAATCAGTGGCACAGAGMTGTTTGGAGAGCCTACTGGGGAATRTTCTGGGGCTTGGGAGAGTCCAAGACTGTTGCTTTGATCCTGCACCACACCCAGTGTGCGGTATTTACCCTTTGGCTATGTATACTGGGATATAGTGGCAGGTGTGATCTTCTGCTTACTTTTACAAGGCACTGGCACATAGATAGCCACATTAATGCAATTCTGAGCTTGTGCTAGATTATCCTGTCTTTCACCTTGAGCTCAGCATACTGTTAACCACTGCTACATGGCTTCTGCCTCAGAAACRGACCTGTGGCCAGCCTGCTTAGAGCAGGGGTGGGGATCAGTTTGCAATGCAGCACCTAGAGATGTACCTTGGGACCAAAGCATCCAAATGCAAGTTGGTGTCTGGTTTCAGAGGTGTCACTSTTATGTTTTTCAGAGTAGATGTTTGGTCTGGCCACCCTGCGGTTTGATTTAAAACAATTTTRTACTATGGGCCAGATTTTTTTTCTGATGGGTGGAACAAATGCAGCTACTGATAGTTGGTTTTGGTTTTTTTTTCTGCCCAAAAGCTCAGTTCCTTCTCGGGCTGTGATATAAGGTGGCCAATTATCTGTCATTATGTCACCCCTGAAGTCCCCCTGGGCAGATGGTTCTCTGTTACCTCACAACAAAGGGAGCCACTGGGTGCTTGGTACTTGGAAAATGGGATCCTACCTATTTGCTTCTGCTTTGTTTACATTTGGAAAAGCAGCAGAAGGAATGGAAGGGTAGCAAGGTTTTTCTGCAGCAGTGTATTTGTTGCAATAGAAAATATGAATTGCTTGGTATGCATCCATCTGCATGACCTTCAGCTACCTGAATTGTTAAAGGAAGAGAGTAATTCTGGCAGAAAGTTGAATTGCTCATTAATTGCTTTGTAATTTAGCTAATTAGTTTTGTCAAGGCTGTACAGCTTAAGGGGTGTGGCTGATTATCTTCCCAGTGTTTCACCTTTACAAGTGCAAATTAGCTAAAAAACCTAAAACCTTCACGTGTGGTGTCATTTTTTGGTAATACTGTCATGTGTGGTGCTTGTTGTGGATGGATGTCAAACATCTGAATACCTGCTTTTTTAGGCCTCTGTGCCTGGCCTGTGGCCTCAAACTGTTCATGGGCCACTGGGACCTGTTCTGAAGTGTAGCAGACATTTCTGGCATTCCTTTCTCTGTAGCACACACTCCCAAAGTTGGGCTGCCCAAAAACTCCTATGTAAAAGAACCAGTTTTGGATAACTGCATTGTGAGAGCGTGCGGACATGAGTTAAACTGAACAGAATTTTCCCTGCAAGGCAGAGCACTGTTACTCTGTTAAGGAGTGGTCTGGGGAGGGAGGTCTCGCTTTTTGTTTTGTGCATGCAGTACATAAATGCAGGCTTTCTTTCTTTTTACTTTTTAGGTAGTGGCCGKGGAAGCAGCACTTTGCCTCCTCATACCATCATCAATGAATTTCCAGAGTACGGCACTGTAGAGTCAAGCAGACCCACACCCACGGCTCCATTGATATGCCCGGCAGAGCCTGTAACGCGCAGTCCAGAAAGATTGGACAGTCAGCACTGCATCAGGCCCATTCCTCAACATGCAGCTCCTGCAGATAATTTGAGGCCTGATGCTGGGGCAGTGCAGCTTCACACCGCGGAAGAAGGTTTGCAACCTGCGGSCGATCTGCTGGAGGTTATGAAAATCTCTCGACAGCTAGAAGCAACAAAGGTGCAAGAGAGAGCAAATACTTCTCTCGATTCAGAGACGCAAATGGAAAAAAAGTGTGTTACTGGCAGCCAAAACGTGCAGGCAGCCAGAGAACCAGTTCCAACAGGCCAAGAAAAACTCTCAGACATACTTCTTCCATCTGAACGAACAGCTGAGGAAAAAAAGCATTTGATCATAGAGAAAGATCTGGCTTCAATATGGACTGGAGAAAAGGAGTCTGAGTCCTCACAGGCCATAAGTAATAAAGCAGAGGAGGTCCATGCAGCTCAGGAACTAAGCAGTCACAGACCATCTGTGACAAACCTGGAAGCAGTTAGCAGAATGGAAAGAGGGGCATGTTTAGAGGAGTTTTCAGAACMTGGTCAAGACAAAATGCAAACGGGTCCTGAGAGGAGGCTGGCTAAAGAGGCAGCTGTGAGTAAACACGTAGAATTTCAAGGTGTGGAGATTTTATGGCTGCAAAAAGACGAGGAGCAGAGAAGAAAGAAGCACTCACTGCTTGACCCTGTGTCCGTGGAGAGGAAGGCATTCCCTAAAAYATCCAGTCACTCTGTGTCACCAATGGTCTCCCCAGGCTTACATTCCTCGCCAGACAGTGCATGGAGTGCAATCTGTGAGGACCCAGGACGAGGACCCACTGCCTCTGGAGCCACTCCTCTAGCTCTGCTTGATGAAAACAAGAAGGATGAAGTTCCTGTGAAGGACAGGAAGAACTGTGGTGATAAGGAGATGGCCGTGCTAGCAGGAGGCCAGGAGAGGTGAGATGGTGCTAGGAGGGGAGCAGTGGATCAGGTGGGGTTTCTCTTGTCTAGGCACGTGGCTCGTGTCTACCTCTTCATGTGCTAATGAGAAGCAGCAAATACTTGTCTGCTGCCTKTGGTGTGGGTGTCTACAGTAGTGGTTCTGTCTGGTGGTTGACTAGTGCCTAGAAGCCACTTCACAGTATCTTGCTGAAGTTTRCAGTCCATCTCAGATTTTGAAATGAAAAGAAGTCATGCCATTTGCACAGTGATGTCTGTGTGATGAAGCATCTGTAGCAGGTGTACCTGGGATCTGGACATGTTCATGTAATTAAATACAGTTGGCATGCAGGCCTGGCCATATGTACCTGAACAGATTTTCTGGTTTCAGACACAGTGTGTAAGAGCAGTGTAAGAACCTCTGAAAGGTCAGATAATAAAGACATTTTATCCAGGGCCAATGTAGATGATAAGAGGATAAATGGGATGTGCTTTGTATATTATCTGTCTGTCTATCTATCTATCTATCTATCTATCTATCTATCTATCTATCTGTCTGTCTGTCTGTCTGTCTGTCTGTCTGTCTGTCTGTCTGTCTATCTATCTATCTATCTATCTATCTATTTATCTGTATTTATATAATCCTAGCAATATATATTGCAAAAAATGGTGCTGCTTTGCATCCTGATTTGCTTGATTTCCTGATGTACATCTATGACAAAGCAAAGGGTTCCACTGGTGTGCTCTGAGCAAACCATGCCCGCTCTGACGTGGAGGGGTGTTTGCTRCTGAGACAGCGGGATTTCTACAAGGGAGGCTCTCTTGTCTCTGCACCTCTGGATCTGTGGTGTTTTGCTTTGGCCAGTGCATGGGATTACTTGAGCTGGCTACTCTAGCCTCTGGCATGTTGAGGAACCCCACAGTATTTGGTGCAGCAGAGAAGAAAACTCTGCAGGGGGATGCTATACCTTTTCCTGTGCATCAGCAAGCAGGCTGAGTGTTCTCCCTTCAAATCTGGTTCCCCAGGATCCATATTTTTAATTGCACTTRCTTCCTTTGCATTTTGAAGTGATTTCCTACAGCTTTTTGCTGGAGACCGCAGTCCTAGGACTGCAGAGCTAGCAGATTATCCTTCAGGGGCAGAGGCTCCATCTGGATACACATCTCCAGCATGTGCAGCCTCTGGCATGGCACTGGTGCTAGAATAGACCTTACACGTTGTGCTTTTTTCCTTTGCACGTAAACAGCTGATGTTATCTGTTAGACAATGTTAGGCTGTCTCCCAGCCCTCTTCTTTTACCCAGAAAGTTGTTTCTTTCTATGTCCCTGGAGAGGGAGATGGTGCCAGTCATAAAGAGAGGTGGTGTAAGGAGAAACCAGCATTTTATCTGCAGTGCCCTCTCCTGCTCAAAGCTGCATGGACCTTTCTGCTCACAAAGGTGGAATAAGGTTTGGCCAGAAATCTAAACCTTGCCCCCAAGCTGAAACTAGCTGTTTCTGATTAATTTTCAGGATGACGGAGGAGGGGGAAGCAGCTACAGGAGGATATGAAGATTTCCTTGGGCAGAGGCACTCCGATGTCTCCACTGATCTATACAGCTCACAATTTGAAAACATCCTAGACAATGCATCTTTGTACTACAGTGCGGAATCGCTGGAGACATTGTACTCGGAGCCTGATAGCTACTTCAGCTTTGAGATGCCACTCACTCCCATGATCCAGCAGCGCATGAAGGAGGGTGGACAGTTTTTAGACAGGACATCAGCCTTGGGGCAGGCAGATGTCCCAAACAGGGACCTGAAGGCATGTGGTGAAGGTATTGCCAATGGCTTAAGGGATGCAAGTGAAACACTCTTCAAAGGAGATGTCACAGAAGTCTCTCATCTGGAAAGGTAAAAGCAGTGGGTGAGCTTTCTGTGTGCCTGCTGATTTTTCCCCAATCTCTGTTTATTTGAGTGTACTGTTACAGAGTGTAGTTTTGCCTCTTTCAACACAAATTTTCTACAGAGAATAATTTCCAGGGTGACTGCAGGAGAGAAGTGAGCCATCCAAACCTGCCATTCATAGGAATTCATAGGAAAAGTGCAAATTTACATAATGAAGGTTTATTAGGCAATGTTGATGTGTTGATAAGAGTCTGTCTAGTATTATGACATCTCCAGCATCTGTCCGAGGAGGAATTAGTTACTGGTTACAAATTAATCTTGTGCAGCTCCAGTTCCTACCTGAATTTATAAGCATCAACTTTAGGAGTGGAMCACTTTGTGTACACAAATCAGTTGTCCAAATGCAACTTGTGATCTGGATGTTAGAGATGTGTTTCTGGACATAGTTTTGCTCTCTTGAGGCCAGTAGGAGTTTTGGCTGGGATGAGATTTTGCTCTCACCACGTTTATGGGTTAGCTGCTTCTTTCTAGTGCACTTCTTCTAACTAGTGCACTAGTTACTTATTGAAAGAGGAGTGAGCTTTGCAAAAATGTTAATAATTTCTGTTTAGGTAAAGGGGGAGATAAGAAAACCAATGAAAAGAAAGAGAAGCAAAAACTAGGGTGAGTGGTCAGAAAATACTGTGCAATTGTAGAAAATCACTCCATGTGCAAACTTTCCTAATAGTGTGCTGTCAGAGGGAGTAGGAACAGTGAAAGGCAGCCACAAAGTGGGAGGTTGTGTTAAAAGCAGAGCGGTGACAGTGCAACTCACCTGCAAGAGGGTGAATGACCTTGTGAGTGACAAAGATGCCTCTGGTCTCCATCCTCCACGGGGAAGGTGTTATCTAAGAGTCCTTAGACTATCCCCTTAGATGAGACTAGACCAGCTAGAACTTTCCTGGGAGTAAGGGTAGGAGATCTTTTTTCTGTTTTATTTCTTTCGTGCTAAAATGAAAGAAGTCCTTTTTAACATAAGTAGTTCTGCTAATTCTATGGATTAAGGTACAGTTTGCTTTTAAAAGAATAGGTAGAAGGATTTAGCAGTTTAAAAGTATTATTCCATTAATCCTACAATAAAAAAGGTGTTTAGGTCTCATGTGTGCATGGTGTCTGCCAATAGGCAGTAAGTGACTGCTAATCTGCAATAACCTGTAAGAAGTCGGAAACTGAGGTCAGATCAGAGACTTGCAGGTCCTGGCTTATTGCAAAACCAAAGACTAATATTAAACTGGACAGTGGAGAAGAACCAGCACATTCAGATCCTGATTTTGTTACCCTGTAGTTACAGCATCTAGTGTCTAGATACTGTCAGTGGCTCATCAAGACACAAATTACCACGAAGATAAGGTGTGCTTAGATAAGTTACATTAGGTGCCTGCTTAATGTGGATTTCACTTGGAATTAATTGTAGTTTAGATTTGCAGCCAAACCAGTAGTAGATTTTAGATTTCTTTTTTTCCTCATCTAATTGGGAAAAAAAAAAAAAAAAAAAAAAAAAAAAAAAAAAAAAAGAGGAGTGTTGCTGGCAGCGGGTTTGCTAGGGACAGGACTCACCTAAAGTAGGTGTCAGTAGAGAATGTCATTGCAGTTGTATGGCCAGCCACTAGTATGCCGTACAGAGTAATCCTCCCAACAATAATCTTACAGCCAACACCACCTTTCCTTCTGCGGTATTCCARTACCGTGTTGTGTTGCACCAGGTGTATGTTGTTTGATGCCTGACAGGCGACTGAGAGGTCGTGAGTCCTGTTTTGCTGGAGCCAGTGGGAATCCCGAATTTAGAGTGCGTGGGTGAGAAGCAGTTGTATGCGTGCTGGGGCATCGGGGGTTTGTCGCAGAGGGGTCACGGCCGAGTGTCATGCTCAGGTGATGCTCAGGTGAACCAGAAAACGCCTCCTGTGCCGTGGCAGCTCAGAGAGTTGGAATGCGCGGTTGTGTTGCCCGAAGCAAACCGAGATTTCAGTTTACCCGAGTCTACCCGTGCGATAGGTATAAAGCACCTCTGTGCCTGCTGCTGAAACCCTCGTTCCCTAAGGAACCGTGAGCCTGCGGTTGTACTTGGGGCTGCAATTCCTCACGCATAGCGCCTGCTTGGCGCTGCAGAGCAGCGGGGGCACCCGCCGCAGTGGTCCAGCCCTCCCGAAGGAGGAGGAAGAGGAGGAGGAGGAGAAGGGTGGGGGGAGGCAAGCCCTCTGACCGCCGTGCCCGGCTCGGCGCGGTGCCGCCAGAGCGCTYCGAGCGCTTGGCCCGGCCGGGGCTCCACCCGCTCCCGCCGCCCCCCGCCTGGAGAGAGCGGCGGGAGAAGCCCCTCCCAGAGGGGTGGGGGCTGCTGTGGGGCTCAGCATGTGGATACTGGCAAGTGCAAGGGGAAGCGGGGGTGTAAGGCGGGGGATTTCGGTTGTGGGGGAATTGGGAGCAGAGCAGGGCAATGTGGCAGCGCGGGACAGTAAGGAGCGATGAGACCCTTCTTTTCTGGAAACGGCGCTGCCAACCCGAGCGAGCAAAAAYCGAAACCAAAATCTCAGCAGTGCCCTGTGCCGTGGCATAAAAAGTGTGTGGGGAAGGGAGCATGCTTCAAAGTACCAGCACTAGTTACTGGGGGAGCAATGTGAAACACATGCATTTCTTCTTGASCCAGCGCAGAAGGGCACGGCCGATGTGAAAGCAAGGGGCTCGTGGCTTTACACCTGGAAATTGAAAGCCTTGTGCCAGTTAGGAAAAGAGACCCGGGTCTCTTCGTGGCCATTTCCCCTTCTGATAGCAGGTAGCTGAGCATCACGGCCACTTTTGCACCCTCTGGAGGGATCCAGAGCATAACTCACACAGGGAGTGAAGTTTTGATGCATAAACGCAAGGAAACCTGGCCTCTTAATGAATAAGCGGGAGGGTAACATCCTTCTCCGCTCTTAGGAAATTGCTGGCTTTGGGAGGGGTCAGCTCTGGTATGTGAAGGCCGGTCACATGCCTTCAGAACTGGAAAAAAAAAGGGAAAAAATTATTAGAGGCTTGCAGGCTGCAAGCTCCTATGAGCTCCTTGGTGTCTGAAGATTTCATCCCCGCTGTCCTCTCTGTCAGCTGCTGGCCGTGGTTAAACGCAGTAAGTCCTGGCAAGAGCTGTATGATGGACCTCTCTGCTTTGACGGCAACCTGCCGTGCTTCCTTAGGGTACGGGGATATCTGCTGCCCCTCCGGCTTCCTGCAGGGCACGCTGGCTTACTTTTGCAAGCAGTCGTTTCCTGGCATAGCTTAGGTACCTGGCCAGTGGAGGAGGGATGGTTGGGGGTAAAGGATATGCAGGTTGCCTTCCATTGAGACTCACAGTGTCTTGAGGGTGGAGTTTATTCTCTTTTAGCTCTCTTGAGATTAGCTCAGTTGGTTAGAGCATGGTGCTAATAATGCCGGAGTTTCAGGTTTGATTCCTGTGTGGGCCATTTACTTAACAGTTGGAGTCAATGATGCTTTTGGGTCCCTTCCAACTCAGAATATTCTGTGATTCTGTGGTAATTATCCCTCTGAGGGGAAAAAAAAATCTGCAGCTGAAGTTGCATTAAACTTCCACTGGAGGGGGTGGGAGAACAGGGGGAGGAGGGGTAGTGTGTGAGGTTTCGGAGTTGAACGACAGCCTTCCTGTGTGTCAGGGTGCCATGGGATCCTCATGAAATACACTGGGCCACAGGTTGCCAGTGTAATGAAGCTTTGCAATGGCAATAAGGACATTGCATCTGGGCSGTGTTTGGTGCTCTTGTCTCTGTGTTATTCTTGCAGAGGCATGCGGTCCCCACTATCACCCCCATGCCCCAGGTGCTGTACTCCTGCCTTCCCATGCCATGCCAGTGCACTGTGTTAAGACGAGCAAGGCTCAGCCTTCTTACTTAGGAGTCTAATCTTCTGGAGGCAGCAAAGAAAAGTGTTTACAAGGTACCAAGACATTGAGCTTGAGTTTGCATTGCTTGGACTATGTGTAATCATTTACAAATTGATTCAAATTGATGATCCAAATCAGAATGGGATGAAGGGTTTCCAAAGTAGTAAGATATACTTGAGSGAAAAGGAGTTATCTTTCCTACATGTACCATAAACAAAGCATCAACATGACTAAATATGAAGTATGAAATTCTCTCTATGATGATCTCTATCCTTCCACTTTCAGACTTTGCAGACTGAGCTTCTTTTACTCTTTTCTTTTACTGCATGCTATGCAGCAGGCTTTCCATTCCTTGTATGCTAGAATCAGAATAAGAAATTTAAAAAAAACCACAAAACCAAAAAACTTAAGGCGTTTCTTTTCCTGCGTTGTCTTGGGAGGTATGGTCTCTGTTGGCAGGTCTTTGTCCAAGATTTTCCTAAATCCAGAGAGAAAATAAAAAAATCTGAATTGCAACTCCTAATCCTCAAAAATGCTAAATATTTGCCACCTGCTATCATCTTCAAAGAACTGCTGGTGCTCAGCAAATTCTGCAAGTCCTGTTATTTTTTTTTCCCTAGAGATGCAAACACAAATTTAGTTACATATGTATTCAAGAGGGGAAGGAAACAAACTCCCTAAAGCAATCTGGTGATTCTCAGAATAAATTCACAAAAATGTAGCCTGCAATTCCCATGCGTGCCAGGTTACTTTTAATTGTTGATGCCTTTTATAGTAGTTCCCATGGTGGATATTTTTCTTCTGTGTATGGGTCACTTCCAGCAGTTTCTTAGCCAGCACTCTGCTTATTTCTTCTTTAAGATAATAAACTCTGTTGACAATTAAATCCAGTTTTGATTTCTTTCTCCAGGCTGGTTCTTTAAGTCTCTTCCCTGCATGCCAGCTATAATTCTGGTTTTCAGTTTGCASACTGGTATTTTTGTCCAAAGTTACTTGCCTTTGATTTTTCCATGTAGATGCAAGACGCGGTACTTACATATCTAACATGTAACTTTTATACATTCATTTTATTMACCTGTCCAACAGAGGACTAGTAGAA